TTAATTTTATATTCATATTAGTTTTTCGCTCTTTGGCATCTTATTTACTACACTTGTTTGCCTATTCACATTATTTTTATATCTTTTTTTCATTAATAATTATCATTCATTAGCCTTTATCACAATATATTATTCTAATTACTCAGCTTACTGTTTTTTCACCCACTTTATATTTCTTTCTGTTAATTTTTTTAGCTTTTTATATGAATCCTAATACCATTGCAATTTCTAAAAAAGAGTCTGTTTTCTTCACTTTTGAAGAAGCCTGTGTGTTTATAGAAACTATGCTGCATATACCAATACTATTACAATCTTGGCGAAAACAACTAAAAATAAAGATGGTAGTGGTTATAGACAAGCATTTTCTGCATATGAAAAACAGAGCAGTATAATGGTAAAAAAGAGAAATACACCACTAAGTGAATAGGTTGCTTATTTGTTGTTAGAAAGAGAATAACTATTTCCACCTCTATTTTTGCTAATGCCACCCCCCAGATATCAAAAAGTAGATATTCTTATTAAGTAAATCCACCTTTTAATCTTAATAAAAGTTGTTCATCAGGCCTTTCCAGTTCTAATGGTAGTAAAATTATTATACTCGAACTAGTAGTTTCTAAGATATTTATATCTGAAGTTATCTAACTTTTATTCACTTTTTAAAAAAAACTACTAGTTCGATTTTAATGATTTTACTACCATTAAAACCATAATGGCCTGATAAACAACTTTTATTAAAACCAAAAGATAGGTATTCTTAATAGCAATATCTCTTCCGGAGCACTTCTTTAAATTTTGAAGGGTGGTATTAGCAAAAATAGGGGTGGAAATAGCAACACTTTAGAATAAATTATCGCAAACGTAAAAAAAAGTTTACCATAACAAAATTATGCTTGGAGCATAATCATGAAATTAATTCGGATACCAGAAAGTTTAGCAGTAATATGTGTAAATTTGATCTGAATGAACTAGACATGATTGAAAAGCTTTATAATAATGGACTACAAATTAATGACATATATACCATTTTAATCTCAATTAGCTTAAAATACATACATAAACATGATATCTATAATGCTATTAGTCATGAACATCAACGAAAGTCGCAAAAACTAAATGAAATTGAGTTGTTGCTCAAGACTTTGCAAAATGATGAAAATATTATGTCAAGTATAGCAACTAAATCTGTATATAATAACGAATACAATCAAGATGATTTATTTATGCGAGCAATTTTCTGGGCTTATCGAAGTATAGTCTTCAAGTTTGCAATAGCTAAAGACGTATTAATTATAAATATGATATACAAAACAAACAGGTTTTTTTTTAATTTCAACCTCTATTTAGTAACTTATTTGCTAATTTATTGTTATTTTTTATTTTATTTTATTTTTTTATTTTTTATTTTATTTTTTTTAATAGGATGTTCTTAAGCACTTATTTAATATTATTTTTATTTATCTATTTTGATAGATTTTCAATATTATTGATTGTTATTTGTAGTATTGACTGATTCAGATCAATATATTCTTTAGCTTTTGTACTTATTTATTCAGAAACAAAAGAATTTTACAGTTGGGTATTACAACAGTTGCATAAGATACTAACTGTTTTAACAGGTGACTTAAATATAACAATGATTATAACTGACTAAGTATTGGCTCTTATGAATGCAATATCTACTATATTTCCTAATACAAGACATCAATTGTGTATTTGGCATATTTTTAGAAATATGAGAAATAGTCTTAAGGATATTAATATAGATAAATTTATTAAAGTAATTTAAAAACTTATATATGATGATCTTTCAGAAGATTAAACAAATCAAGAAATTATAGAGCTATGGAGGTGATTTTTAAGCACAAAAAATTATATATATGATACATAGATGCTATATAAGAAAAGTTGGCTTGTATTGTATATAAAAAAAATATTAATCTTAATATTAGGACAACTGGTTGAAGCTTTACATAGTAAATTAAAAGGTGTTAAAAATCATATGACACTAATTGATAGATAGGAAATGAAATAATTTAATTGGCTTACTATAGTCTTGGTATTCATTTTATTTATTTACATTTATATATAACAAATTTTTTTTTTTACTTCAAATTTGTTATATCATTTATTATACGTATATATATATAGATGCTAAAATTCAAAAAAGAAAATTGCAATATTACTTGATTATTTATTAATTATGTTTTAATTTTATTTTTAAATTTCAGCACCTATCTATAAAACTTTAATTATATCCATTATATCCGTAGTTAACTATAATTAAGTAATTAGTACAGGTAACTGCAAGTTTTAACTAGTTTGATTTATTTTATGCAATAGGTTACTTGCGATAATATGGCAATAGCATCAAGAAAACTTTCAGAAGTTTTTATATAAATCATTTGTATATCAAAATAGACATACACAAGATGATAAGGATATAGGTCTGGAAATATTGCATTCAGTATGCTCACGATTTGTATTTGAAACATATGTGAAACAACAAAGAGACCTCATAATATCTGAAGAATATAGTATTTTAAAATGTTCTGATAATATATATGAGATTATACAATTAAATGATGAGATAAATATAACACGTGTAGTGCATATTGGAATACCAAGTAGTTGTATATGCCTGCATCTACAGCATACTAGAACACCATGCCAATATGTAATTGTAGTATATTTATTGTGCCTGCGTACTCATATTTTACCAAGCGAAGTTTACTAACATTGGTATATGCAACAAAATACAGAAGTGGATCATATTTTACAACTTGTTACTAACATTTTCAAAAAGTTGCCAGAATATTATTATGACATTTTATTAAATATTAAACAAGATGCTTCAGAATATATTCTTAAAGATAGCCAAATACCGAAGCTACAAAGAGATTTGAATATTTCACAGCATAATAATTTTGAAACTACTGATGTTAATAATATTACAAATTATGAAGAAATTAAAATACTTGCGGCCAAGTATAATTGTGGTTGTCCTTCTAACAACAAGCGTATTCTTGGAGCTAATAAGATAAATAAGAAAAAGAAAATTAAAAAAGATATAGTATTGCTACATTTGACTGATATTGGTATAGAACTTGATGTATATATTTCTCAAAATGCAGTATTATAGGTATGTACAAGCTTATATATGCATGTATATATGTCAATTGGTTCTTTAATATTAATAAGTATTTGATTTAGTAATTGGTTTGCTAAGATTAGTTTTTTACAGTTATTAAAACTAGTTTTTTACATTGCCAAAATTGCTTATATACTAAACTATCCTCTGGTTAATTTATCCACATTGTTTTTTTTTATATATTTACATATATAACATATTATACCACTAAATCTATTATTTATTTTAGACAACTGGGTATAAGTATATATCGATATTAAAATTTTTTTATCTATATTTTGATCTTTAATAGAAAAGTTGGTTTAAATTAACAGATAAGTTTAAGTTACATAGATGGCAGAGGATAAATTAGCTGTGTTTTGTGTAATTAAATATACATAGAAATTTACTGCGAAAATATACCAGCTGTATAAATAGCTAATATACTTTCTCAGTAAATTTTTGTTTATATATAATTGCCAAAAATATAACTACGTATTATTATGTAAGGTTGCTAAATAAATTTGGACATATACAAATACAGGTGTATAACCTACTTGGCAATAGTCATTGTAGTTTCCAGTCACTATCCATGGCTTTGTTTAAAGAAGAAGAGAAATGGCAAGATATAAAGATTGTTATGAAATCTCAGTTAGTTAAGCAGTACTATTTATATGGTAATACCCTTGGATATGATACAAAGCGGTTAATGACAGTTTTATTATGTACTTATCAAGAGTGTACACAAGAGTACTAGTTTTATATACTAGAATATGCATAGCTAGTATCAGATATGTTTAATGTGCTAATAATAGTAATTTGTAAGGATTCAATATCAAGTTTCTTTTTTTTGCCTGTTGATCAAAAACCTGTGTATTGCAGAAAACCTGTTATTCTGTATTGGCATGAGAATAATCATATTGTATTAGTCAAACTCAAACTAAATAAAAGCATACAGGCTCCACCTTTAAATCCTCAGTATTTATTTGTTTGTCATCATTTAAGCTTTTCTGAGGATTAGTATTCTCTCTTTGTTTAGATTTATATGTTGCCTTTTGCTTGTTTTTTTGTTAATATCTTCATGTATCTAGAAGTGTTACATTTGCATAATTTATTTAGATTTTAGTTTAATTT